CGATCTAGAGTAAGAAGAAAGAGTGACAGTCCTAAATGCCCTGTAGCCTCCTACTTAGAAGTGTGGTGCACAACACACCCATAAACAAGACTCTACTAGACACGGTTGTAGACTCCCTAGGACAGAACTGTTCTGATACCACTTTTGTCACAACCCAAACCGATGGGCCGCGACGGTAACCTGGTACCTTACTCAATTGAGTACCAACATAACGTATCTTTTCGTATCATACAATCATAGATAACTGAGCCGGAGAGGCTGCCATGAGATAGGTAGAATACAATATGTAATACCAACTTATACATAAGACATATTGGCCTCTAAGACCAAATAACCACTCGTACACTGAACATATGCCGACAAGGCCATACAATCTTTTACGTACATGACATCTGTCATAAGTCTTTAAGAATACATATTTGTCATAAAGGTCGGGACATAGCCCTGCCATACCAAACAATACACGTCTAAATTATACTGATCAAACAAGCAACTCCGGAGCAAATGGAGCGCACCAACACCTTTCGCTGAGCTGATAGCTTACTTGGAGGGCTCATAACCTGTATATCGGGATATGCGGGCATGAAACACAGCATCCCTAGGCAAAAGAGATGTCAGTACAAATAATGTACCGGGTATATAAGGAATGAAAATCAGTAAATAATAGACATGATAGAAACATAGAGTAAACAGACTTAACATGTAAATCTGAATAACTCTGTGAATCATTAATATTTATAATGCCATGCATATGCGTATAAATGCCATACCATGCATAGGTATATACGTTTAANTGGTCATGGGTCAATGTGCATGTATAAATGCATAAAATGCATATGAAACACGTTAATAAGATTTTCTCTGAATGTCATAAAAATAATATGCCTGTCGGATAAACATTATCAAATACGTATTTTTCTGATACCCATGAATAGAAAATATAATAATAATTCACATGGTGAATCAAGATTATAAACACCCCTAGTATTTCTATGAATAGAGTCATTTATGAAAGTTGTGCATTTGCTCGTTTCGTTCATGTCGTATAGATCATGCCAAAAATAAAGAAGGGATAGCCTTAACATATCTAAACCGATTCTCTTGACAATCCTATAACACCCGTTAATTACGAAAAAATACGGAACAAGTCGTATGAAAAGCTTGAAGCAATCACGTTGCTATGCAAAGAAGATCTTGGCCGAAACCTTTCCTTAAGAACTTAGCAAGAACGTTGCTATTTGAAAAGTGAATTAATGTTGCTATATTCCTTGGATTAGAAAGTGATTTGAATTATAACCTTCCTATGTGCTTGGCTGAAAGTCTCTTAAGAGACTAGAAAGTGACTTGAATTAGGAAGTTTCAAATGAATTCTTGGAGTTCCATCTTTCACTTTTGCATTCCAAAGACTTGGAGTTTCAAATGAATTCTTTAATTGTGTTAGTTGATAGGCCCCACTAATTTGATGACTAGTCTTCTAAATGTGCCATGTTTCTATATAACTCAAGAGTCATTTCTTTAGCTTTCATTGGCTGCCACGTTAGGGTCTTCAATTTTATCCAAAGATTTTTAATTAATCTCCCACTAAAATTTATTAGTTACCCAATTATTCGCATAATTACGAATTATCTCAAATTACTTCAAATACTACTCACTTGACGCACTTTATGTACCCTACTATCATAGTGATGTGGTACCTTGTATGGCACTAATCCATAAATACCGGGTATTGTAGCTCGGGCCGTATTTTATCCCAACATGTTAAACTTTGACGAAAATTCATTTCCTTCGATTTGCTTACCCTCTCACCTTCAGGAATTTACTCATCACTTGTTTGAAGTAGCATAATACTTATAATACCAAAATAATCTCATTCCCGAACTTACATCAATTAACTTACGACGAAATTTTAACGTACAAAAATGCAGCATGTAGCATCTTATTTCTGAGCTTTCATTAATTTATTTATGGCGTACTCTCACGTACAAAAGTATGAGGTGTAACACTTACCACCCCCACCACTCATGGTCACAAACTTAACTCCAAATTAGTTCCCATTTCATATCCTCCGAGTGGAGAGAAAAGTGGTAAATCTAATTCGCGTCATGCCAAGACGTTAAATGCGTTACTTGGTGGGAGGCAACCCATCGTTTTCAAATATTTTTGTTAGTTTTTTTTTGTAGGTCTATTTATTTTTCTTGAATATTTTGATGTGTGTGGGTCTTAGAGTGTAGATAAAGTGAAGAAAAAGTGGCTAAGCTTGCTTTTCTACAGCAAAAAATGTGATCGCATAGTGGTTATGCGGACCGCTTATTGGTCGCGAAATGAGTCAGATGTTCGTAAACTATGGTCGCTCAAAAATATGGTTGAATGCCAATTCTGCAGACCGCATAACGGTTATGCAACCGAAAATGTGATCGCACATTGGCCAATCACACATCCATTGTTTTCCAATTTTTGGGTCGTGTTTCAAATTTTCTTGTTTTTAGAATAGATTAGTATATTATTTTTGACTAATCTGCCAAGTTTCACTTTTTTTAGGAGTTGCTTTGAGTAGGTTGGGGTGACCGGAGAGGCAAAAACCAGTAGCTGCTGGAAATTGCAGAAGCAATGCTTCGCGTTCGCGATATCATATTGCGTTCGCGATAGCACATCGCGTTCGCGAAGAGTAAATAGTTTTCTAATGCTTCACCTTCGTGATGACAAGCTCGGGTTCGCGACTATTAAGGAATGTTTACTCTTCACGAAGGCGATTAGGCCCTCGCGAACGCGACCCATCAGGTAAGTTTAAAATATCAAAACACTGGAAATTGACATTTAATCCCCCTCTTTAATGAAGAATCGTTTCTTCCTAATCCTTAACCCCCAAAGTCAAATTCCCCGTCATCTTCAATTTCATTGCAAATCTTTACTCACATTCTTCAGGTATGTTCATTCTCCCTTATCTCATTACTGGTTCTTCATGTTCTTGTTGTGAAATAATTGAAGAGCACCCTTGTCTTAATGTTTTAGGGAGTAACTTTAAATTTTTGAAGTGAAACATTTGTGAGCTAAAATGATTTCTTGCAAAAGTCAAACCTTCGCGATCATAATTCGTGTTCATGAAGGTTTGACTTTTGCAGCTTCACGTTCGCATTCCTCCTTCGCGTTCGCGAAAGGTAATTCACTGGGCAGATTTTCATTGTTCATTTTAACTCATTTTCACTTGGTTTCTACACGATCACTTCTAAATCACATAAAACCTATAAAATAGACATAAACGACATTGAACACACGATTTTATCAATCAAACATAGTAAAAATCTAAGATTAAAGACGAGATAAATTAGTAAAAATCTGACACTTTAATGAAAATTATGACCGAGCTTTTGGGTTCTCACACCACATCTATTCAAAATTTGCAGATGCAAATAAGGGATTTCTCAAGAGAGCAAAACATGAAGCAAAAAGGCACACTCCCAAGTGATACATTTGCAAACCCAAAAGGTAGCGGGAGTGGTCCAACCTCTCATTGTATGGCCATTACAACTTGAAGTGGGAAACTACTTCAAAGTGAGAAAATGAGTGGTCAAAATGGAAGAATTTGAACAAGAAGTCGAGGCGCAAGTTAAGGTGCCAAATATTGTTGAAGTTAAAAGAATCCCGAACAAGGTGAAAGCTCTAGATGTGAGCCGTGAAGAGGTTGAGAAAAATGTAATATAGGCACCAAAACCTCTAGCACTGATTCCTAGTCCTCCCCCTCCATTCCCTCAAATACTAGCTAGAAGGGTTGATGATAGCAAACTCGAGAAGTTCTATGACATTCAAAAGCAATTATCAGCGATCATTTCATTTGTGGAAGCATTTCAAGAGATGCCTGGTTTTACTATGTACTTGAAGGACTTGATCATTAAAACGAAAATCACCAAGAATGAAGTGGTGAGCGTCACCACAGTGTTAGCTCTATCATTGCAACAATCGCAGTCCAACAGAAAGAGGATCCGGGGGCTTTCACCATTCCATGCACTATTGGATTGCGTGACTTTACACGAACTATCTGTGTTAATGGGGCTAGCATCAACTTAATGCATCTTGCTATCTACAAGCAGACGGGATTGGGAATTCCTAGGCCTACGAGTATGAGGTTACAAATGGCCGACCGTTCCATAAAGAGATCGGTGGGATAGTGGATGATATGCTTGTGAAAGTGGGGAAGTTTCTCCTCCCCTACGACTTTGTCATTCTTGATTGTGTTGTTGATAAAGAGATCCTTATCATCTCGGGGATTCCATTCCTTGCTACCGGGAGAGCACTCATGGACTCGAAAAGAAATGAGATTAAATTTCTGGTTAATGTCGAAAAAGTTACCTTTCAAGCAAGTAAGGGTATGAAATTTCCAAATGCATACGAGAGTATCTCGGTTATTGATGTGGTAGAGGATTCCGTTGAGGTTAAGATAGAAGAGGAATGCCTTGGTGAGGCATTGGTGGCGGTTTTGATGAATTTTGACGGTGAGGACAAAGATTGATATATGGAAACGGTGAATGCATTGGAAGGGCTTGTTCCTATACATATGCAACAAAGAAGCTTTCTTTTGACTTGGAGAATAGAGCCACTCCTCCCGCTAAGCCTTCAATCATCGAGCCGCCACAACTTAAGCTCAAGCCACTTTCACCGCACTTAAGGTATAAATTTCTTGGCTCCAATGAAACTCTACTCGTAATTGTTTCCTCTTTGTTAAATGATGTGTAGGTTGAACACTTATTGGAGACCTCGAGGATCATAGACGGGCCATTGGTTGGACCATAGCGGATATCCGAGGGATTTCCGCCGGCATTTGTGAGCACAAAATCGAACTAGAGGAAGATAGAAAACCTAGTGTGGAGAATCAAAAGAGGTTAAATCACTCCATGCAAGAAGTGGTGAAAAAATAAATTATAAAATGGTTGGATGTCGAGGTTGTCTACCCTATTGCCGATAGTCCTTGGGTGAGTCCAGTGCATTGTGTGCCAAAAAAGGGAGGCATGACTGGGATTCAAAATGAGAAATTTGAACTCATTCCAACGAGGACGGTGACCGGGTGGAGAGTTTTCATGGACTACCGGAAGCTCAATAGTGCTACCTGCAAAGACCATTTCCGTATGCCTTTTATTGATCAAATGCTTGATCGGCCAGAGGGAAGGTTATTTTATTGCTTCTGGGATGGTTACTCTGGTTACAACCAAATCAACATAGCCTTAGAGGACCAAGAGATGACGACATTCACATGTCCATATGGGACCTTTGCTTTTAGCCGGATGCCATTTGGCCTATGCAAGGCCCCGGTTACATTTTAACGGTATATGATGTAAATTTTCTCGGACATGGTGGAGGATTTCTTAGAAGTATTCATGGATGAATTCACTGTAGTTGGTGATTCCTTTGAGTATTGCCTCGATAATATTAGGCAAGTATTCAAAAGATGTGAGGAGACAAATCTTGTGCTCAATTGGGAAAAATGTCACTTCATAATGGACGAGGGTATTATTCTTGGCCACAAAATCTCCAAGAAAGGGTTTGAGGTTGATCGAGCAAAAATATAAGTAATCTCCAAGCTTCCTCCTCCCACTTTGGTCAAAAGTGTTCGCAGCTTTTTGGGGCATACTGGTTTCTATCGGCGATTTATCAAAGATTTCTCTAAGATTGCAAGCCCCATGTGCAAGCTCCTTGAGAAAGATGCTAAATTTTTGTTTGATGAGAAGTTCCTCAAAGCTTTTGAGGAATTGAAAGCAAGGCTCACCATGGAACCTATTATTATCACACCCGATTGGTCTCTTCCATTTGAACCTATGTGCGATGCCAGTGGTGTGGCTATTGGGGCAGTGCTTGGTCAACGGCATAACAAGATTTTTCATCTTGTCTACTATGCAAGCAAGACACTCAATGGCGCACAAATGAATTACACCGTAACTGAGCAATAACTGCTTGCCATTGTCTATGCTTTTGAAACATTCCGTGCCTATTTGTTGGGATCTAAGGTGATTGTCTACCCCGATCATGCTACTCTATGCTATCTTATGGAGAAGAAGGACTCTAAACCGAGATTGATTAGGTGGGTCCTTTTGTTACAAGAGTTAGAATTTGAAGTCAAAGATCGAAAAGGAATAGAGAATCAAGTCGTGGATCACTTATCTAGGCTTGAAGAGGCAGGGAGACCAAAGAAAGATCTTGAAATCAATGGCGCCTTCCCAGATGAACACCTTTTGGCAATATCTAGTACCTCAACTCCTTGGTATGACGAAATCGCTAACTTCTTGGTTAGTGACCTTATCCCCAATGAATTGGAAGCTTATCAAAAGAAACAATTCTTGCGGGATTGTAGGCAATACTTTTGGGAAGAACCCTTTTTATTCCGGAGTAGCATCGACAACATCATTCGGTGTTGTGTTCCAGAAAATGAGGTGTCACGGCCCAACCTCGTGGAGCACGACCGACGCTCAACTGAGATTACCCGGCCGAGCAAGCCTGTACAATACCTTCTACCTGAACTCACTCATGAATAAAGAGAAGATCTATTTCATTAATTAGGCAGTGAGGAGATTCATGTGAACAACAACACCAATTCATTATCAGAAGTTTCATCATCTATATTTTTCAGAATACATTCACTTTCCTAGTTTGATGTGGAACGTGTGATGCAGTTACCAAAATTACTAGTTTGGCTATCCCAACGCCAACATACCACCCACACAATGTCTATGGAGCCTCTAATAGATACAAAAGAGTACGATGATAGTGCCGGCAACTTGTTTGATGTAGAATGTGTGATGCAGTTACCAAAATTACTAGTTTGGCTTTCCCAACGCCGACATACCACCCACACAATGTCTATGGAGCCTCTAATAGATACAAAAGAGTACGATGATAGTGCCGGCAACAAGTTTCCAGCTATACCTCAAAACATAATACAGAAGGACAAAAGATATACTACCCCGAATGAGGTGGGGCTCACCAAGTCAGCTGGGAAGAGGGTGTTCCGCTATGAACGATCAAAGCCGCCTGCTGTGGAACCACCTGCATCCATTAAAGATGCAGCGCCTCCGGCAAAAGAGACGTTAGTACATGTGGAATAGTACTAGAATGAATGACTAAGCACCCTCTCAATAGAACAAATGACAAGGCAAGAATGAACAATCATAAAATCAATGGGAGTCTCAAACAATACCCAAAACATCAAGTTAGGAACAAGACCAGTTTTCAAGTGATTTCCATATTTTAAGTTGGGATATCATTAGTACCGATATGCCACCATTTACAGTTTTGATTATAATTTCAGACAGAGTCACCACCATGTGTGCGGAATGGCATCCGATCACGACCCAATTGGCTAGGCTATCTCATACGAGACATCAACCACAATCACGACCCGATCGGCTAGGCCGCCTCATCTGAGACATCATCCTTTTCTATCAATCATCATATTCCATACCTCTTTCACATCTATTTATTTCATTGGTACTAGTGGTCACAATTGTAATATCCCCTTTTTGTGTGGCGTGTTGGCCGTATTTCATATTTTATATTTCGTGCTCACGTTTTCGCTTACAACCATCATCATGGATTTTCAACAACAAGGCATTAATGTGCAAGACAATAAGCATACATATGAGCAAACAAGAGTCTTAAGTGCATTGGGATTTCTTACACAATTGGCATTAGCTATCATTTGAAACGCAACTTGAAGTCATAGCTTTTAACTAAGCAACCAATACTTTGAACACATTACCAAGAGCATTTGGAATACATATTGAACACAAAGGTCTTTTGACGCAAAGTTTATTCGGAATTATCAATTCATAATGAGTAACTTGGGACTTACAATGACACTGTGGGGTTCAATTCTAAGGAAAGAGTTTAGCCAATATACCTCACTTGAGCTTCCTTAAACTCAAAAATATTCGAAAATCTTAGCAACTTCAATCTATTTCAGAAATATAATAAATTGAACAAAAATTTAGGAGGATGATCATGGTTCCACCTCATTTGAGCATTTTATCAAACATTAAGTGTGCATTAAGGTTTCAAGGTCCTCCTATGGTGGATTCCATCATCCCACAACCCATTATCTACCATTTTTAGTTCAATAATCTTCCTCCACCCCTTGATAACACATGCATGCAAAATGAACAACTTCCACACCCAAAAATTCCCTTACTAATTACCTATTTTTAGTTGAATTTCGAAATTGAGAGTTAGGGTGTAGAATCTTACCTCTAGGATGAAGACCTAGTGAGTTTCCCTTATCAGTCTTCCAAGATTTGAGCAATATTTGAAGAACAAATTGTTGAGGAACCCTCTCCCACTCCAGAGCACTCTCTCACTCTCAAAATACCAGGTTTTTACTTAAGAAATGGTCCATAGCGAATATATAATGGAATAGGGTCGGGTTATAAAAACCATAAAAATGAAGCTCCGGAACCCAATCTCCGGTCGCATGTGCGACCGCATAATGCTCTTGTGGTCCGCAAAAGGGGCCGCGAAATGTCCCTCCGAAATTGGGTAACCCTGCCTGGGTATGCGGCAGTTCTGCGGTCCACATATCAATTATGTGGTCAAAAAGCAGACCGCAGAATCTCCTCTCGGAATTCCTCATGTTGATCTTGCGATGCAATCTACATGGCTCACAAATTTTGCTCGAGATCCTGCTTCACTCTACGGCCATTCTGTGGCCCACAGAATGATTCTACGGCCGCATAGTGCGCCGCAAAAATGTCTTTTTCTGCCAACATTTTTCTTTAACTCCCTATTTGTAGTGTTCGACCCAAAAAGTCCGTACCGCGGCGAGTTCTACCATCACCAAACATATTATCCTACCTCGCCACCACGGACCCTCGAGTTTTAGGTAAAATTTTACGGGGCCTTACATCCTCCCCCACGTAAGATCATTCGTCCTTGAATGAGGGTTTAAATCCGTCATTAGTACTCAACATGACCCAGCTATTACTTCACACACTAGCAGTCCCAATTTTTTTACTAACTCCCCAAATTCCCAAAAGTTTCGGCAAAGTTTCCCTTGTAATTGGGCCTATCCACCTGTCAGAGAATCCCAGAAACCAATCCTAGCAGCATGTACATAATCCAACGATGCAACATAATATGATACATTACTAACCGTGGCCTCAAAAGCAATATATTACTAGAAAGGAAATATCCTGAGCATAAATTGTACAAGTGATACATAGTTCATAGGAAGTAATTTCATAGAAACTATTACATAGCTATTCAAACAAATGAGGATACTTCCATTTCATTTCTTACTCGGCCTCCCATGTGGCCTCTTCAACCTGCTGGTTTCGCCATAACACTTTCACGGAGGCAATTTCTTTATTTCTTAGCTTTCATACATGCCTATTAAGAATGGAAACTGAAATTTCTTCATAGGTCAGTTCTTTATTAACCTCAATAGTTTCTACTGGCACAATAACCGACGAATCCCCAACTACCTTCTTCAACATAGACACATGGAATACCAGGTGCACTAATGACATCTCAGGTGGTAGCTCAAGCTTGTACGCCACCTGACCAATCCTCTGAATGATTTTGTACGGTCCGATATACCTCAGACTCAATTTTCCTTTCTTACCAAAGTGCATTACACCCTTTACGGGGGAAAGCTTAAAGAATACCCAATTATCTTCTTTAAAGTCCAAATCCCTACGACGAACATTTGAATATGACTTTTGATGACTTTGAGCAGTCTTCAACCCCTCCTTAATGATTTTAACTTTGTCCATAGCCTAATGCACGAGGTATGGCCCTATTAACTCTGCTTCCCCAATCTCGAACCACCCAATGGGAGATCTACATCTCCTACCATATAAAGCCTCGAACGATGCCATCTGAATGCTAGCATGATAACTATTGTTATAGGCAAATTCTATGAGTGGCAAATGATCATCCCATCTATCTTTGAAGTCAAGAACACAAGCGCACAACATATCCTCAAGTGTCTGAATAGTCCGCTCTGCCTGCCCGTCGGTCTGTGGATGGAAGGTTGTAATAACATTCACCTGAATACCCAAAACTTGCTGAAATATTTTTCAAAAATTTGCCGTGAACTGTGCCCCTCGATCTGAGATAATAGAAACTAGAGTGCCAGGCAATCTGACTATTCCTTTGATATTCAGCTGAGCATACTGTTCCGCTATGTCGGTAGTATTAACCGGCAAGAAGTGTGTTGATTTTGTGAGTCGATCCACAACTACCCAAATCGAGTCAAACTTACAAGGAGTGCGAGGTAGTCCTACCACGAAGTCCATATTAATCATTTCCCACTTCCACATTGGGATTTCTATGT